TTTTTTACTATATCATTCTAGACCTATTTCTTAATGTTTTTTGACATTTTGCCATGAGTTATTTTTTTTAATGAGCTCATATTATGCGCTGATGACGCTTACAATTCTACTTAAATCGAGTTTAGACGTCGTCACTGGGATCTGTTTTACAATCACTTTTGGAACGGTTTTTGTTTATTTTTACGGAAAAATATAGCATAATTTAATTTTACTTCAGTATCAAATAAATTTGTTTATAACACGGTATTAGCATATGCGAAAAGGTTTGCTAGTTGAAAAAATATTGAACTTTCATCTATTATAAATAGTATTTAGTGTTAATTAGTAATTATTAATTTAAGAACAAAGACATAACTTGATAAAACGTTTCCTAAAAACTCAATGTGCTACAGTACTTAAATAGCTATTAGCCTATTTCTAAAGATAATTTAATATTTGAGTATGACAAGTTGATAATAAAAAAAACCACAAAAATATCAAATGTCTACAATTGCCTACTAAAAGATCCAATTAGAGAATTGAGGTTAATTATAGCTTTTCTAAATGATCAATTTACAAAAAATTTTACTTCACAACTAATAATACTAGAATGAGTAAAATTAAGTTTTTCTCGTGTGACATTTAACATCAAAAATAGTTCTAACATTTTTATTGTATTCTAATACTCTTTAATCAACATATGTAATGTAATATGAAAATTATTTCAGCAAATGAACCAGTGAAATATTACAATTGTTATTTTACTTGGTTATTCAGATGTACTTGTTAAAATAATTTTACACGGACCGTCTACATTTATTAGCTCTACACATTACTTCTCATAAAAAAAAACAGGAAAACAAAATGATTTAGTTGCAAGAGTATAATTAGAAAATGATATCAGAAGTCAAATTGATTCTAAGCCACACAACAATGATTTCATGTAAATCAATCAGTACAGTCTCCATTTATATTTCATTGACGATTTAATGAAGTTGAGAGTGATTCTAATCAGTTTGATTGATAGATTTTTTAAATCTTATAGGCCGCATTTGTATACATTATTGTTGTACGTAAATGTCTTTCAATACATCACATATCTTCTTAAGTAAAATTGATCTTTCTTCAGCCAGGCCAAGTGCTTATATCAGTTACAGCTAGTAGATTATGCATACAAATAGCACGTTAAAAAAAAATATGTTTTAGTTGTGGTAATAAATTATTAGTACGCTAGAGATAACTGCTACGGTCATTATGAAAACTGATACTGACAGTTTAAATAGCCTACAACTCGGTCAGATTAAAAATAAAAAATAATTTTTACTCAGGTTTGGTGTATTTTTAATTGTATATGGGGTTAATTTTGACAATCTTGTTATCAAATTTTTACGACCTTAAATGTTAAGTCATTTTCTAAAAAACTCTGTTATAGCAAATCAAATTTAGTAATTTTGTTTACGAGAAGAAAACTTATTTTATTTAAATAAGTGGTATTTGTAGTACAAACAACTAGTTCTCTTATGACGTTAACATATTATACTATGCTGCATAGATAAGTTAACTTATATTTCTAAAGCGACAAGAATATTTGTAAAATTTTTTAGTGACAGCTACACTACCATATTGGTCATGCTTATACATAAATTAGTAGCAGAAACAAAACCTAAAGTACGTTAAAACATATAATGGTCACAGATTTCAACAAAAAATTCGTTCACATCGGTTGTATGAAGGTTATTATAATAGTATTTATACACGTTTAAAAAATTGTTCTTGAGTATTCAATATCACTATAAAAATAATTTAAAAACTGGAAAATTATTTTTCATAACATAATTTCTACTGTTAATTTGTACAATATTTTTTATTAAAATATTAAATCCATTAATAAAATATTTAATTTAAGCTGAAAATAAACTTGTTCGAAATCGTTGATTAATATCAATAGGTTTTTAAAATAATAATTTAACACAAAACTTTAACTTTAGTTGTCTTTTATTTAATGACAGAATTTTAAACATTAAGTAAACCACGTTAGATTTTCATTTATAGTTGATATTTATTATAAAAAATCATGATGTTAGTAATATAATAATAGTTATTGTTGCCCTACAAAGTGGTAATATTAATCTATGAAATATCAAATTGCATTATTGGTTTGTCTTTAAATACACCGCAAGGTTATAATGTTACAATATATACATTGTTTCTAATGTACCTGTACAAACTTCAGTTTAATATTAGCTGTCGAAAATCTTTAATTGTTAATTTACTTCATTTGCAGAAGTTAAGTAGGAAACAATTTTATTTTCTTGGTATTTAATTTTATTAGTTATTCTACTCGCTTCGACTTTACTCGGAAAGACCTTATACATACACGTATGTGTAAGTTCATTAAATCTCTTATGAGTTATGTTTTATATAAGATATGACGTGAGCCTACAAATAATTTGTCAGCGTAAAATATATTGGATCTCTTCCAAGCTTGAAATAAAACTTTTTTTGGGTGAAACATAGTCGGTACATAAGCAATCCTGTTGATGACTTTTACGGATAGCAAGTGTCTTGACTACTACTTCTACTAGATTTATTATTTTATCAAAATATTTTTTATAAGTAGGTTTCAACGTTTTTAAAACGATAAAAAAATCACCTTCAAAAATGACAAATGTATATGACTATTCAGTCATAGTCATAATAAGTTATTGATATTGTGTTTCAATTTTCAATAATGAACAATTATTTTTTCCGGTTAAGAATGTCGAGTTTAACAAATAGAATGAAAACACAAGACGGCTTGTGCAATATTTGTTGCAATTGTATTTATTTGTACATTTCTAAAACATGTTGTCAGGTATCATTTTTTGATGGTATTCATCATATGTTGATGGCGACGTCGGTGCCACGCAGTCTATGAATGACCGGCGAATGTCAGACGGGTGTCCCCCAAACGAGCACAATGTTTGTCGACGTGTTGAACGCAATACATTGTGTGCATGTTGCGAGACACATAATTTCTATAAAAAATTTACGACAGCTTCTTGTATGAAAATATAACACACGGCAGTGTATTCAAGTAACCCACAAAGAAGTATTCACAACTTTGGGCAAAGCAACCATTTTCATAGAAATTGCACTAAAATATTAAATTATACACTTTTTACTTGATCCAAATAAAACTTTTACTTTTTTTTTAATTAGATGGTAGCTCAAACCATAGTTATTAACATTTATACTTATATAAATTTTATAATTTTTCTAAGTTTAGGTATGTATTTTTTCAAAACATAGCACAAAATTGGTTTTACTTTAGTTAATTTTTTGCTCTGGCATATTTATTTAAAAGCTAAGTAACATTTTGAAGCATAGCACATTCATGTTCACGAATGCATTCCAAAAACTGTAATATATCTATAATAGGTTTTGTATTCTACTCTTGGAATTTATAAAAAATTAATTTTTTTCATAAATGTCTTATGTTTTTATACTTTATGATTGCGCTTTAGCTCAGGTTGTATTAAAACTGAACTATTGTATTAAAAAAAATTTAAAAATTATGATATTGAATTTATGTTCTAAGCATTTACACGCAACAGGGTGATTTTGCGTGCGATAAGAAACAGATTAAATATCAATACTACTATTATAAGACTTGATAATAGTTAAATCTGACATTTAGCAAGTACTCATATCCGTTGCAAGGTGTTTTTTAACAGACAAAGCCACTGATATTACAAGTAACATGTTATACGGGTTATTATTTTATGCATAATTAATATTAACCCGCTTTTTTAATGTCGTCTCAAAAACACAAACGGATGCGTGGCACCTTGTAATTTATGTTCATTTATTGTATTAATGTTGATTACATAACCAGTTTAATGTTTAAGTTAATTTTATTCAAATATTAATACACCCGAAAAACCTATAAGAACTGTTAGAAATTCATTTTAATTCATGAACATTACAATGAAACTTTAAGTGTTGGAATTGAGTGGCTAGTTGAAAAAATACTTTTTACCAAAGAAATTATACAGAGGAAATACGCGTCGTTCAATGTCAATGTCACTTTGTATTTTATTCGGTTGTCGAATCATTGTTAATATTCCATTTGATTCATTATAGTTCATGTTTATCATTCAAGGTGTACGTATTGGAACAATGGCATATGAGATGAGAGTACAATGTATATCTGTTGTATATCAATGTTCACTTCTACTTTTATTTCCAAAGAATTTTTTTTAAATTTATAATTAAATTTTACTTCTAAGATTCTTTTCTTTAAAATACGTTAAATAATGTTCTACAGTAATTTTTGTATGTTCGTTCAATAACACCTGAATCATGTTTCTATAGTGTTTTTACCCTCTTATGAAGCAAATACTATAATTAAAAAAACAAAAACGAAATGAAATTCTGAACAAACCTAATAACATTTTAAAATATACAACACAAATATTTATAACGAATTGTGAACGGACACTATTTTTTAGAAAGGGTTTCAAATCTATTTTACTAAGAATTACTCAGTTGAAAACACAAAAAAATATTATTTTTTATTGTTTAGAGGGTCGCCATATGAAATTACCTTTAAATGTTTATTACCTGTCACTAAAAAATAACGCCCTGATCCGGAAACACGCATGTGTCCTTTGTGTTTTTATATTTTTCTCTTACTTCAGTATTGAATGATTCAATAATATTTATAATAATAACGGCTGTTTATCTTTTATATTGTGATAAAATTTAAATACGTTTTTAACTATTCCTCGTGAGATACCTACAAAAAGAGTTTCTATTGCATGATAGTCAAGGGAAGAATTACGATAAAAAATATAGTTATGCCGTGTTAATTCATGAGTTTTTTTATTTTACTAAAGTAAAGAATTTGCATGTGGATGAAAACTGAATGAGTAATATTTAAGATAAAAATGGTTTCCATAAAAATTTTTATATTATACACTAAATTTGTTTGTGTTATAACATATAATTAACATAATTAAGAAAAAAAATGATTTCCTTTTTTTTTTTTTTGTACAATATTATGGAGGACGAGTATTCATTTATTCATTTGTTTTGATTTGATTTTTCATATTTTTGATGTTGTGACGCGCATTGAACCTAGAAAATAATATAAATATAATTTAATATAAAAATAAAAACGTTTATAATTATTACAGTATACTTTTGTAGTAATTGAGTTATTAATATGAAAATCACAATTAAAAATCATCAACTGTCGTTGTTCATCAACATAAATAAAGCATTTATTATTAATAAAATTTACCAAAGCAATAAATACTTTAAATATGATAGAAATACAATAGCTTTAGGTGAACTATTAATAAAAGAAAACTTAATTTTTATATTTCAGCTCAAAACTAGATATTTTGTAAAAGATAATCTTAAAGGATATGCGTATAATAAACACGGAGGGTTCTATAAAGTAACGAAAAAGATATCCACGTGGGAAGAATAGACTTACTTTAAAATAGTATATTTCTACCTACACATGTCTATTACATAAGTTTTGGATTATTAGTGACTCAGACACCGATTAAAAATATTAATTAAGACATGTCTGCCCGTGGTAATCATTTATATAATAACTAGCTCCGTCAAGATGAAACAAAGTGATGATAAGGGGCTGACATAGACTTCTACTCTAAATACGTCGTAGGTTTAATGATTTTAATTATTGAACTTTTTCTCATAACAAACCAGCGCTTCCTCTGTCCTTTACCTATCAGTGCGGTCACCCAAACGGAGAACAATAAACTATAAAAAACGACTCCAAAAAAACAATATAAATGCATCATCAGCTTATAGACTGCACGCATCATTGTACATGTCTTCAGCTGTCGGTAATTATTCCATTACGTGTTTACATGGTTAATTATACATGTTAGACGGTTTGAATTATTATTTCTGTCCCTTAGGTCTATAGTTCAAGCCCCGGAGTAATGATGGTCTACACATTATATAAGCTTCGGGTATAATAAGTACATAATAATAATAATATAATGTGTACATTGTGTAATGGTCTATATTTCCAGAGCGTTTGTATAATTTTTAAATAAAAACCCATACGTACGTCTATTGTATTGTGAACCAATTTCAAATTTCGAAGATTGGTAAAAGTTTTGGTCTATGATTAAAATTAAGTTACAAAAACGTCCTTTATCCATAGAAATAACTGGGATAGTAATAAATTAGTCTTTAATAGAGGAAACGTTAAAAAAAATATGGCTCATAGATTTATTTATAATACATAAACTATAACAAAATATTAACCCGACAGAAGCAAATTACAAAAAAAATACTTAAATTGTTCAACATAAGAAATATATATTTTTATTACGAATTTAAATGTAATGATTTTTTTATGTAATGTCCAGATCAACTAGCCGCAAACGAGATGGCCAATAATCGTTAAAATATAATACTCCCAAAATTTCTATCCTTTCAACCAATAAAAAATCAAATTATTACCTATAAAAATTTAAATATCTTTCGCGGTCATTCATATTACGGATAGTGTAATGCTCCAAAATATGTTAGCGTGTAGTTCAAATGGTTAGGTAGAATGTATTACACAATACTCGATACCTTGTTGTTTGTTCCGTCTAAAATATATATACTACGTCCACATTAATATTATTAGGTCGAATTGCGTCAAATGAAATAGTACACATGACCTAATAAATTTATTTTCATGTCAAACAAATTTACTCTGATCTCTATCCAGACCGTTAAAACCGTCTGGAATAAAATTACTCTGTGGGTGTCTTCAAGTTGAAACTCTTCAGCTGGACACAAACAGAAAGGTTGAGAAGAATTCATACGCCTAATGCAAATCATTTTTGTTACTTAGGCTATCAAGTGTCAAATAAATATTAGTAAATACTGTAATACTTTCGTATTAGGTCAAAAACCAGTCTACTAAATGGAACTGATACATTCATTTGGTGTAATACTCACACGTTGAAAATATGTTTGTTATTTCATATTGAATATGTATAAAATATCTTATTGCGAGATTATCATTTAAAGCCACTCGTAGTATTTTATTAAAAAATACAGCCTATCATTTTTCATGGTATAGCTTTTTAATCTGTAAAAAGAATAACAATTGACCGGTTCCGTTACTTAGACCAAATATGCTATTAGTTTAATCAATACATTAGCCGGACCACGACAAAAATCATTAATAATCAAATAAAAATGGTACATAACATAAGAATATAAGTACGAATACTGTGTAGACGCTGTGTGTAAACACTGACAATGCGCGTGGGAACATTTTTTATCTTACACAGTAAACTATCAGTGGCGGAAATCATGCGGAGGTGTTATTGTTTATAGTTCAAAATATCTAAAAAAAATGTTTTCTATTATAGTATAGTAAAAGTTCATTATTTTGAAATCTTAGACATATTAATAGCTCTAAATATTTGTAAAAAAACAATACAATTTTAACTCTAAAAATACACAAAATTAATCAAGAGAAAATTACAGAGGTTTGTGGTGAAAAATATAATTTATTCTAATTAATAATTATAAATCTATACATTTAGATTGGATTAGAATTTTTTTCCTTTTGTTATTAGTTTGTGTTTAGTGTTGCAAAAACATTTATGTTGATATTAGTATTACGTAGTAAAAGTTATTTTAAATACAACAATTTAAAACAATTGTTACCAAAGTTACTAAAGAATGCTATAAACTATTCCAACACAGCTATTATGTGTGGATTCGTTTGTGTTTAAATGGTTTGCATGGAACTATTCTATAACACCCAGTTATGACTTTTACTTGCATCACATGTAATAGTTTATATTTAGACGTATTTTGAATGCAATTTCACAGTTTATTAGAATACAATTAGTGATGTATTACATTGATTATAACATTACCCTAATAATCTTTTTCGAGAATATTCTTAAAAATATTCTCAAAAAACGAGAATACTTTTTTTAACTTATTCATTATTATTATTATTATTACAAAATGGTCCTGAATTGGCAAATAAGTAAAATATTAGTCACTTCTGAATTTATCTTTTTAGCTTCAGATAATTCGATCAATCGAAGTCAGAGAGATAGTCTACTTCAAATAAAATTTAACCAATTATCCAATTTTATGTTATGTAGTTTACAAAGGCTTCTTAGTTATATTTAGAAGTAATTAAATGTATAACAGACTGGCCAAATTAAGCCCAATTTATGGAAAGTACATAAAATTGTCTTTCACTGGGAATGTTTCTATTTTATTATCTTACTAGAAAGTTTTTTTTGAAAAAAATGTTGTTTTTAGTCTTTAAATAACAAATAAAACTTGAGATGTTATAGAAATATAAAAAATATTTAGAAGTCTAGAAATGCAAAAACTTTAAAAATCATGGAATCATTTTTATTTGAGAATTTTTGATCTTTTTGTTATTATGCGGCTTTCAATAAAATAAGACATGATTATTTTTTCATCATAGATTTTTAGTAAGTAATCATTACTTTAAATAATTTTCATATTTTATTAAAAATTCTGAAAGAAATTATTTTTTTTTTTTTTTTTTTTTTTATAACATATTCTCCAATAATCTGCAGAAAAATATCTCAAAAATATTAACGTTATGATTTACAATGATACCATCAATACGGAAATATAATATGAATTGTTTTAGTTTCGATGAGGATACATTTGATATATTTTTTTAAATACAATAATTATAGTTTCTACAATTTTATGATTAGGATTTTCTTTCGAAGAATATATATTTTCCATATTTCATTTTGCTCTAAAATTGTTGGTCAGTACTCGTATAAATTACACATTATCATACTTAAAAGCGTTTTAATGTTTCAAAATAGGAGTTTTTCGACAAAGTGTTAGATTGTGTCATGTATTCTGGTACTATGAATGATAGGGGCTGTATCCCTGTTAATATGAAAAACATTAATGGAAATTGGATGGGCAAGAAATTGATGATGCCTGCGGGGATACCGAAAGGGGTTTCAATGCCAACTCGCGACTCGCGCGCTGCGGCACGAACTCCACAATAAAAAGGTAATCATTATTGTAATTTAGACAGATCATGTTATTAGTAATTAATAATTGTTTTTTCTCTTATTCATTATTTCTTCTTCAACAAGCTTGCCGGCCTTCGAGGCAATCTTCGGCGGCATCTACACACAGGTAGTCATCAGTCTGCATACAGATCCTGTAGCAGCACAACAAGTAGTAGATGAGATGTCGCCGCAATACCTGCGGGTGTCCGTCAATTTTTTTTATTCTCTTGAAACACACATTTCTTTTAATCAGAACACCAGACGTGTTTAAAGTTTTAGCCACTTGAATGTCAAGAAGTGTTTTGGGTTTTTCATTTGTTTTCGGTCAAACGCCCGCATTACATTTATGACGACTGAAATATACTAAACGGTTGACGTGAAACCAGAAGATGAAAATAAACTCTACGCTTTCTGTTTTTAAGGCGTACCTTAGGTTTGTTTTTTATTTATTGTACAGCATTTGTTTTGTGATATTATGAATGCTTTATGTCTTTGATGAGAAGGTTTCAAGTTGTAGTTTGTTCCACTAAACACGTCTCAGTGATTAATCGGAGGATTATAATACTCACATAATGTGTACAGATAATCCGTGAAAATTTATGAATAGAACTATTAATTAACAAACATGTATTATTTAATCAAAATTTTTTTATCGTAATCCATTTAATACAGTTATTAATTCTATAGCTGGTATAGGGATACAATTTATTTTTGTGGCCATGGTTATAGTATATAAGTATTTAATTACATCAATATATTTTTTTAACAAGAAAAAAGTAATTTTTTTGCTTTTTTTACTAAACTTAATATAATTTTTATTTTTTTAAAACATTTTTATTAACACGTCAAATTTGCTATTTTCGTCTTCTGTCAAATGATTATAAATTATAACTAACATTTTTTCTAAATGTAAATATTATAATAACCTTTTTTGCATTTATCTAATGAAAATTATTATTTTTGAAATTCATAATTGAGTTGCTCTTCAAGTTTTAGTTTTTTTAATAATCAATAATTCACCTAAACCTAGTAAATTATATTTCCTAACATTGGTTT